ACCCAGAAACCTGTAAAATCCTTGCAAGAACATATAGCTATAAATCCTCATGACCCTCAGTTAGGGAATGGTTTCTTTCATACAACATTAAATATGCAAGCAACCCATTAAATATGGGTTGGATTTTTAAATGGTATGTTGGTATTTTTATTGTTGAATTATAAGAGTTCTTTAAATGTCCTAGATTAAAAGGCCTATTTTCAGGTATGCAACTTGCAAATATTTTCTTTCATTCTGTGGGCTGTGTTTCCATACTGATAATATTCTTCTGTGTACAAAAGTTCTTATGATTGAGGAACTCCAACTTACCTAATTATACTTCATTGCTTGTATCTTAAGTGCCACACCAAAGAAATAATAGCCTGATCCAAGCTCACAAAAATTTACACTCATGTTCTCTTCTCTGGGTTTTATAGATTTAGCTTTTACATTTAGGTCTATAATTTATTTTGAGATTTTAAAATGTTGTATAAGGGGAGGTAGGGTCCTGTTTGAGTTTAATTGTGTTCCTCCCATTTGTGTGTATAAATCCTAAACCCCAGTACCCATGATTGTTATTTTAGAAACAAGTTCTTTACAGATGTAATCAAGATTAGACAAAGTCATACTGGATTAGCCTGGCCCTAAATCAAGGCCGGCAGCTTCCTGACACTGTTGGTTTCAAGCAGGAGCCTAAAGAGATGTTTTTCTATAGTCTGTTGGCTATTTCAGAACTTGGGCAGTGAAATGATCAATTCATTAGAAAGAAAAAGCTTGAAACAACAACTTGCCCCTACCCCCCGTGAGCAGCTGTGAGCATGGCAGGCTGCGGCAGCCCAGGACGGGAGCCACTGGCTTTTACTGGGACCTGCGCCATGCTGGGACCTGGAGCACCAGGAAACCAAGCAACCCCTCCCCCTCTGCCTGTTTTGTTTTGTTGAACTTCAATATACATGAAAGTATGGACAGCTATTTTGAAGAGAACGAGAGACTCTATGACAGCCATTACTGACTTCCCTATTGTCTGGTTTTGAAGGCCTAAAATGCCTTCCTCATTCTGTTTGGATCAGTTTTATACTATGTTGTTTTGTATGAATTCTCTGTATGCAAAGACATGGACAACTATTTGGAAGAAAACGAGACAATATGATAGTGAAGATCTCAGGTCATCTAGCTTTGAAATTTATAACTCATATTGCTTTCTTGTGTCCTATTTTGTTCTGTTTTGTTGTGTAATTTTACCACCTTTAAAATAAAAAAAGTCATATTGGATTAGAGCAGGGCCTGTGTACAGTGGTAGTGTCCTTGTCTGAACACTGTAAAGACACGTGGACATAGAAACATACAAGGAGGATGTCATAGAATGTGGAGGCAGGAATTATGCATATAGGAACCAAAACTAGGCAGTAACCAGCAGAAGCTAGAAAGAGACAAGGACAGATCTCCTAAACAGCCTTCAGAGCGTGGCTCTGACACCTTGATTTTGGACTTGTAGCCTCCGAAGTGTGTGACAATACATCTGTTCTAAGTCACCCAGTAAATTAGTTACAGTCCAAGGAAACTCAACTGGGTCCAACTTTGCTCTTTTGCACATGGCTATCCAACTCTCCCAGCACTGTCTTTGTTGAAAAAATATTCATTCTCCACCGAATGGTCTTGGCACCTTTCATGACCTGGACTCTTGATTTTATTCTATTGATCTACATGTCTGCTTTTATGTCAGTATCATACTGTCGTTAGTGGGAGGCTTTGAAATTGGGACACATGAATCCTCCAACTGTATTTTTCTTTTCTAAGACTGGGTAGTTAGTCAGAACCCCTTGAATTTCCACAAGAACCTTATAATTAGCATGTCAGTTTCCACCAGAAAATGTGAATAGGGGTCTTGATAGGGAGTGATCAATTTAAAAGTACTGCTATCTTAACAGTGGTAATTATTTTGACCCATGAACATGGAGTTTTCCATTTCTGTATGTTTTTGTGTGTGTGATTCCAATACTTAGGAATTGAACTCAGGATCTTAGCACTGGTCTGCATTCCCAATCCTTATTTATTTTACTTACTTATTTATGTATTTTGAGATAGATTCTCACTAAGTTGCTATGTTGCCTAGGCTTGTTGCTTAGGTCCACCTACCTTAGCCTCCCAGGTGCTAGGATTATAGGCCTGAATCACTGATGCCATTTATATATTTTATTTAACGACTTTCAGCTGTGTTTTGTAGTTTTCGCTGTAAGATTTTGTGCTATTTTTCTTAAACTTACTCCTAAATAATTTCTTCTTGATGTCATTGTAAATTGATTTTTTTTAATTTCATTTTCAGCTAATTCATTGCTAGTGGATAGAAGTAAAATTGATTTTCCAGTATACTGATTTTATATTCTGAATCTCTGATGAATTTGTTTATTAGCTTTAATATTGTATGTGTGTGTATCACTTAGGATTTTGTGTCCACAAGATCTTATCATCTGAGAATGGATAGTTTTACTTTTTTCTCTCCAATCGGGATGCCTTTATTTGTTTTTCTTGTCTAATCACTCTGGCTAGACCTTTAGTGCCACACTACATGGAAGTCATAAGAGAGGAGATCCTAACTGTGCTCCTCATTTTAGGGAGAAAGCACCTATTCTCTCGCTATTCACTATTTATTTGAACATGCTCTATATCAGGTTAAAGGAGTTGCTTCATAATCCTCACTTATTGAGTACTTTTAATAACAAGGTGTTGGGTTTTGTCAAATGCTTGTTTGTTTGTTTGCACCTTTAGAGATCATCAGGCTAATGTGTCATGTGTGTCTCTCTCATTTTATTTTGTAGAAGTACCAGGGACTGAATCCAGGGACTTTGCACTAGGTAACACCTCCATCTCATTTTTTATTTTTTCTTTTAAGATGAGGTCTTACTAATTTGCTCGGGCTGGGCTTGAACTTCCTGTCTGCCTGCCTCGGCCTCCCAGAGTGCTAGGATTATAGGAGTTTGCCACCACACCTGGTTCGTTGTCTCTTTTCACACCATACACTACCTTGACTAATTCCCAAAAGTTAAACCAATCTGGCATTGATTCTTGATAAATTTCACATGATGGTGATACAGAATTCCTTTTTATGTTCTTAAATTTAATTTTCCAGCATTTTGTTGTTTGTCTACATTCATAAACAATATGAATTCCTTGATAATTTTTCCTGTTTTGCTATCAGGGTAACTCTGGTAAAACAAAATGAGTTCAAAATGATTCTCCTAGCTTTTCAAAGTTTTTTTTTTGTGTGTGTGTGAAGGATTGGAATTAATTGTTGGGCCTGTTCTCTATTTCATCTACTTCTGCTTAATATTTATAATTTCCTTCCTCCAGTTTGTTTTGATTTTGGTAGTTACTCAAGATAGAATTTTAGATTATTGATTTAGATCTTTATTCTTTTAAAATATAACCTATTGTGGCTATAAATTCCCCTCTGAGCCTTGCTTTGGCTGCACTCTAAAAGTTTTGCTGTGTTGTGTCTTCATTTTTATTTACCTTCAAATATTTTCTAATTTTTTCTGCTTTCTTTTTGACCCCTCAGTTATTCCGGAGTGTAATGACTTAATTTCTATGTACTTGTGAATTTCCCAGGTTTCTTCCTGTCATTTATTGTTTGCTGCATTCTTGAGATCTAGGAACCTCCTCTATATGATTTCACTCCTTACGCATTTTGGACTTTATTTTATGACTCATACTGTAAAATGTTCCCTGTGCACTTGAGAAGAATATATGTCGAGGTTGATTAGAATGGTCACTAGGTGTGTTAATTTCAATTTGTTAATAGTATTGTATTCTCGGATTTAGCTCAGTAGCATAAGCTCTCGCCACAGCAAGGCAAGATCGCAAAGGGAGAAGTGAGTTGCCATTATTCTGAAGTTATCTGGCATTTCAAAATTTTAAAATGTGTGGACAACTTGTTATAATCAGTGAGTGAGTTTTTCCAAGGATATCCATTACATCAGTTTATAGACAGACCTCAGGTGCAGGCCTTCTGGACCCCTGCAGGATGGTGTAAGGACACGCTTTCTCTCTCCCTGGGCTCACAACCAAAAGTCTTGAACAAATACAAAGTCAGGACTCTGACAAGTAAATCATAGGAGAGGGACCGGGGAAGGAAATCAACACTCGAGAATGACTGGCATAGATGTGAGCCCCTTGATTTGTTTCACTCCGTATCTCCCAGGATAGACTCCGGTACAGGCTGTGGTCTGGAACTGTGACGTTGTCCTAGTCGCTTTCCCATCACCGAGACACAATAGCCAACGCCCACAACCCAGATGAGGAGAGGCTTATTTTGGCTCATGATTATAGTCCGTGCTGGCTAGCACCAAGGCAGAAACAGCACGGCAAAGAAGCAGAGGAAAACCTGCTCACATCATGCAGCCAGGAAGCAGAGAGGAGAAGATAGATAAACCCTCCCGGGTCATACCCGAGGGGCTGCCTCTTCCCAGCAGGCCGCAGCTCTAACACCACACTTAGCTTAGCCTCCATGGCCCAATCCTCTTCCAATAAAAGCCCCACAAATGAGCGGCTAGGTAATAGCCCATACATGGAAGAAGATGGAAAAAAATCCTGTCCTAGCCAAAGAACAGGAGTGAAGGTATCCCGTGGGATAGAATTTTAAAATTGTTAAAGTTTTCCTTTTCAATTTTCTAAGGCAAACCTTTGTCAAGAATCTCCACATTAGCAACAGAGTCCCACAGTTACTTGAATCTCTGGGATGAAAAAATTTCTCTCTGACCAGAGAAGCTGGGAAAGAGGATTCAGGAGGGCAGGAAGCTTTGAGGCCTTTCCCCCCTTGTCCCTGTGCCCTGAGGTGAACCTAGGCATGGGAAGTGCCCCATAGCACAGGAAGACTACAACTGTCAGCACAGTGAAAATGCCAGTGAAGAGGAACTTGGAGGTTTGGGGAGTGTGGAAGAAGTCATGGAGAGGACGAAGCTGGAAAACAGGGTTCTACACACTTGTGAAGAATACCCGGTGTTGGGAGCCGCGGCCTACACCGGTCGCCTTACTTGGCGGACGTAGGGCCTGTGGGTGGGAGCGGAGCCTGAGCTAGATTGCCCCTCCCATCGAGTGAGTCAAGTTGGCACCTGCTTCCTGCCCCCTGATTGCGCTGGCGACTTAAACAACCCGCTCTGTAAGATAGTCTGCCTAGCAACAACTGATGTTAGCCAATCAGCCCGCATCGCGCGCTTTGAACTGATTGGCCACTGTTACCCTATAAAAGTAAATGCCTCTCCCGCCACAAGAGAGAAGCACAGAGGAAGCACAGAGAGAGATAGAGAAAGTCCACCGGCGAGAAAGGGCTGGTGGCAGAGAGGAGGCCTCGCGGGGCCCACGCGGAGACAAATAAAGGCAAGGTTGCACACCGCCAGACTTTGTCGTGTGTCTTTCCTGCCGGCCGGGAGCGACCCCGACAACCCGGAGGCTCCGTCCTGAGTCAGGCATGCGTGGAATGCCATAACAAATGTTCTAAGAACAGAGGTCGGGCCACTTTGCTATGCTTTGGATATGACTGGAGTGTTTTCTGCGGGTCCCTATGTTAGACAGTTGGTCCCCAGACAGTGTGGTTGCTGTGGTTTGTGTTAAATAAATGGTGATGACTAAAGAACACAGCGGCCTGAATTTGGGGGGTTCTGGCCAGGCCTCCTTCAGTAACTCCCAAGGAGAGTTTGAGTCTAGTTTATTGAGCGGGTAGGGTTAGGTTATGGGTAGGGTTGGGGAGCTAGTCAGATTGGCTTCGGTGAGGTGAGGTGAAGGAGGGTGTGAGATTGGGGGAGCCAGGATGGCTGGGTGTGTGGCACAGCAATGGTGCCATGCCTAACACGCAGGGTGGGTGTAGGCACTGTCTCCAGGATCAGGTGGGGGGTCACTGAAGGCCCAGTGCCCACGACTGAAGGTGGCCACAGAGCAGAGGACTGGTGCAGGCGAAGCCCCTGGCAGCTCTCCCTGGCATCCGCTCCCCCTGCGGATTCCCTCCAGCTGCAGCTGTCCTGGGCTTGGTGAGCTCAGGTTTGCTGTGTGTCCTGCACTGAGCATGTGACAGCAATCATTCCCTTGCTGACTCAGGGATCTTTCCAATGATGGGGTCAGTTGTGTCTCTGAGCAAGTTCTGTCCATCACTGGGGTGAGTGGATGCCCCCCAGGGAAACCATGCACTCAGGGGCACAGGAGCTGTGCTCCAGGCTGCTGCCTGCAGGACGGCAATCCTAGAAGATGCCTGTATCCTTCTCAGGGGCCCCTGCACAATAATGGAACCCCCTCTGCTGAGCAGTGACCATGACGATATAGCTGGATCCTAGCTTCTGCTCCTGTCCTTCACCGTACTATTTGTTTCTTGTGATCTCTCTAGAGACTCCAAAACTTCCTGCGATACCTTGAACCAGGTCTTATGTTCTGCTTTGGGTGGCACCAAAATCAGGACTCCCTTCAATCCAGGGAAAGGACTTCTGGTGTTCCTGGTGACTACTATTTTTGACATGTATAGAAGAGACGGCCATGTGAGTACATGACGAGTGTCAGCTCTGTTCCCAGGTATGCCAGGTTCCCCTGTGGGTAAGCTACCTACAGGCCTGGGACCTGAGCAGATTAAGCCATGCATGAGCTGTTCTCCCTCTTCTTCATGAACTGCTCCTGTTAGGTAGGCAGCAGGCCCCGTTTCCCAGGTATCCAGGGTATGCAGAGCAGGCGAAGGGAGCATCTTTTACTGACTCGGGTTCCAGCCAGAAATGTGTCTTGTTTGGTTTTGTGGGAGGTCAGGGTGAGCCAAACATTACATATGACGCTCGGCTGATAATTATGGAAAAATAACCATTTATGGGAACTTACTGAATGCCAGGCATTGTGCTAAGCACTACGCATGTACCATCTTGTAGGCCTCAGAATTACTCTCCCAGGCAGCTATTTCTGTTACTTCTAATCTAATTTCTTGATAAGAAATCTGAAGCTCAGAGAGAGGTTCAATAACCTGCCAAGGTCACACAGCACTTAGCGACAGAGCTAAATTTTCATCTTGCCTGTGGGTGGCCTCTTTAGCACTTAGCACTATGAGTACCAGTACTTAGCCCAGCGCCCAGCTGGGCGGTTGTGGTCATCTCTGTACACAGCTGTGGTGAAGCCCAGCTCAGCACATCGCTTGGGCAGTGCCTGCTTCCTAAACCTGAGCCACACAAAGGAACCAGTGCCTGGCTTCCCTGGAGACTAGGAGAGGCCTTGAACTCCACTCGGGATCAGTCCTCTCAATGCAGATTAATTGCTGTTGATGTTTCTTGCACATAATTTTCAGTGAGACAGGCTCATGCGGAAGGCCATAAATATACATCCACATGCGTGTGACAGGTAATAAACTCGGCTCCAACAAGTCACTTGAGCCCCCATAAATCTCCACTGCATTTTCTTCCCTGGTGCCTATAAATCAGGCCCAATCTCCACCTTTTCCCCTGCTATCCGGATGGCTCCTACCTGCCATCCATTACCTGCAGGTGGAGATCCGACAGCCAGCCCCCCACACTGCCCTGCATCCAAGCCACCTCCGCCCCAGCGGACCCCACATCCTGCCGCCATCCTGGGGGGCCCGGTGTCTGCAGGCTTTTAGGTCTCCCTTGTGCCTTTCCGAGCAGCAGCTGTGCCCTGTTCCTCTTACCATGGTTTAAGTGAGCCTGGTTGGGGTTTAACAGCTTGGAATAGTTCTTCTCAGTTTGGGAATCAAAGCTAGGACCTTCGCCCTGAACTCCGTCCCCAGCCCTTTTTAAATACTTTTATTTTGAGACAGGATCTCAGTAAATCACAGAGTTTCCCAGATTGGACTCAAAATTTCAGCTCTCCTGTCTCAGCCTCTCGGAGTGCTAGGATTAGAGGTGTTTGCCATCAGGCTTGGCCTAGCCACTTGAACTTTTAAAAGCAGGCTGTAGGTGCAGTTGGCTTTCCCAGTCCCTTAGCTGTATTTCTTAGGATGATTTGCAAGCAGACACCAGGGCACAGAGCAGCAAATCCTCTCCTGGTTCAGAGTTGGACCCAGTGGACTGAGTGGTCCTGTGAATAAGAGAACCAGCCAAGTCCCCTCCCTGGGCCTCAGAGTACCCAGCTGCAGGATGGAAAGAACGCTATTTTCCAGGGGTGTTACTTAGGTAGTAATAATCAGAAAGTAATTACTAGAGAAAGCCTCAAACCTCAGCTGCTTTACCCAATCTTATGTTTTATAACTTAGTTTCTGGCCCCCATGATTCCGATATGGCAGCCTCCCCTCATCCCTAGAGCTTTAGCAACTGGTGTATGCATCTGTGTAGATCACTGGAGAGGAAAAGAGAGAGATGGAGAGAGGACATTGACTCAATACTGCTTCAATCCAGAGGTGACGTGGGTTACCTCTGCTAGAATCCCACTGGCCAGAACTGGCCACATGGTCCCAGATTAATTTCAAAGGATTCTGGGAACTAGAGATACAGAGTGATGGGATTACAGCTGTAGTCCACCACACTTGGCTCCAGAGGTGCTTAGGAAGAGGTGTTCATCTCAGGATTCTCCCTCAGGAGCAAGCACTTTCCTCTTCACCCCCCCCCAACCTTTCCCTTGGCCCCTAACTGTACCTGGACGTCTCCCAGTCCCTGGCTCCTCCCAGGCTCTCTGCCGGCTTCAAGGCTGTCATCAGCCAGGAGCCTTACTCCTGCCCACCTCTGCATCCTGCCGATGGGAAGTCCTCCAGGGTTCCCCTTGTTCTTGTGGGTATGAGTGGGCAGCCTGCCAGCATCCTGGGTTGCCTGAGAGCAGTGGGTGGGTAGTGAAGAGGAAGGATTTCACTGGGACCGGCCCACCCACTGAGCAGCCTCCACAGAGAGGCCACGAGTCTTCTTGGCTGGGCTCCCCATGCATGCTCGGTCTGCTTCATGGTAGGGCAGGGCATCACAGGAAGGCAAGAAGGCAGAAAGTTGGGGGCGCAGGGCCTGGCATAGCTGGAGGGAAAAAACCGAGCCCCTTCTGCCATCTAGGATGCAGGTTCAAGATCCCCAGAGCAGCCCTTCCCACGGCTGGAGACAACTGTGCACACATACACTGGGCGCTCTAGCTGCTAGCCCTGAGCCAGCCCTCAGCTTGCCCATCTGTGCAGTGGGGATTGGATTCATCCTATCTACCTTGTGTGGTCAGCCGAAAAGCATCTGTAGGATTGGGGGTGGGCTGAACGGGTGGGAGTCACAAGGACCCTCTGCTGGAACCTAGAACATTGTCTATGACTCACCATTCTTGCCACTGAGGTCAGCCCTGGACCAAAGGGACTGCTCCTCACCTCTCCGTCCTCCCACCTCAAGTGTAAAATCTGTGGTTTATTCTGGGTGGATTCTCTTTTCCATCTCCCATCCTCAAACACACTCCATAAAATACCAAAAATAAACACCATGCATGGCTTTCATTTGGGGAGGGCTGGTCTTTGCCCTTTTGTTGTTCCTTACCATGACATACATCTGCACATCCTAGTCAGAGACCCTGGCAGAAGGCCATGGGCATTGTGTCCAGGCTTCGTGGTCTCAAAACAGGGACTCACCTTTTTGAATGCTGAGATCTGGAGGAGGCAACATACATGGGGTGCATGAGGACACACTGGGTCTTGAAGGATGAATAGAAGTTCATCGGATGGCAAAAGTGAGGGGAGAGTGTTCACAGCAGAGGGGACAATATACTAAGTGGCAGTGACGAGAACAGACTGGTGCATGTGGAAGCAACTAGAAGTTCAAAGAGGCTGGGCTAAGGTGTCCAGGGGAGGAGATGAAGGCTTGAGGGGCCAGGAGGGTGGAGTGCAGAAGCCGTGGATGCCAGGTAAAGAGCCCAGACTGTTTCCTGAGTGGAGTTGGGGGGCCCATCCATGCAGCACGCACTGTCTCCCTCAGGCAGCTCTCTGTGCCCACCCCAAGTGTAGCAGGGGTGCCTGTCCACCAGAGCCCGCTTTTGTAACAGCACCCGCTCTTGTCTTACTGGTGGCAGGGTGGCCTTTTCTCCCCAGAGTCAGTGTCCTGGACAAAGGCAGTCTTGAAAGAATCTAGGAGCTTCCACAGAAAATGATCCTAAAAAGTCAACATTTCTGTGATTTTTATAGAAATTAATCAGGAACACATGCGTCCTACTTTTCAAATAAGTTGCTGGGGATCAAAAGGAAATGAAAAGAGGAAGAGACAGTAGGAATCCCCTCCCTGACTGAAACCCCAAACTACTGTGCCAGAGTGTGTGACCTTCCCTGTAGCAGAGTCCCCCATGCACTCACGGGAGAGGGCCTGGCTGGGCACAGAGGGGGTCGGATGTGCTCCCAGCAAGGCAGGTGACAGCCTGTGCGCCCAGTTCCATGAGTCCAGGGCTGTAGAGGCCCAGATAAGCCCCTGGCTGGGCCCCACATGGGAAGCAGAACAAGAAACAGCTGAGAGGAGACTGGAGGAGCAAGCTGGGGACACATGAAGACCGTCTGGAATGCACTGCTGACGTTTCGGGCAGCCATCTGAGGATGGGCTGTGACAAACGGCCTGGACTCACAGGCAGAAGCTCTGCTTGGCTTCCCTGTCACTGCGGGACTGAGCCCCGTACTTCAAACCTCCGGGCCCTCATAACAAGGCCTGTGTCTCCCGGGGGAGCCAGGGACAGGCGGCCACCCACCGGCTCCACTCACCTGGTTCTGTTGCCCTGGGGTCTGTGTCACATCAACAGAAGTAAGGGTGATGGGCACGGTAGGGCCCCAAATCCCAGCACTACAGGAGGCTGGAGCAGGAAGATTGCAAGTTCCAACTCAGCCTGGGCACCACAGGCCCTTAGTGTCTCAAAGTCAAAAATAAAAGGGGCTGGAGATGTAGCTCAGTGTGAAGGCCCTGCATCCGATCCAGGGGAGACAGAATAAGAGAGACAGAGAGAGGCAGAGGCAGCCTCAGGGCCCCACCCAGTGGTGCTGTTTCCACAAGGAAGAAGCACAGGAGGTCAGGGAGAGTGGTCAGTCCAGAGTGCCCCCTGTCCATCCCACAGAAGAGAGCGAAGCCAGGAGCTTTGCCCAAGACAGTTCAGGTCTCTTGCCTGTCATCGTCAGGGCACCAGACCTAGGCCTCCCTCCCCACCTGGCATCCCAACCCCGGAGCTGAGCCCCAGCCACCCCCGCCCCGCATGGCCCCACGCCAGCCCCGCAGGCGGCCTGAGCTAATCCGGCTAGACGAGCTGCTATCTTGGCAGGTCCCAAGGCCCCAGGGCCGCGGGAGCTTCAAAAGGAAAATTAATGTCTCTTACTAGCAATTAGAGGAAATTATTCAGATAGGAATCTTGTTTTATATCTCCTCATCCTTGTTTTCCAATCCCAGCCTTTGATTTCTTTCTTCTCTGGGGATTCTCAGAAAGCGCGGGCCTCGTGCGCCTCGGTCTAATGAGCGCCGGGCACACCTGGGAGGCCCCACCGCGCCTGCACCATGAGCTCTGAGGTTTCCCAGGGCGGCCAGGGCAGTGCTTGGAGGTGGGCAGTCGTGGGTGGGCCCTGCCCTGGCTGGCTTTTCATTTCCACTGCCTGAGGGAGGCAGATGGGGGCCACAGGCCTGGTGAGGTCACAGGGCTGCGGGCGGCCATGGGCCTATGCTAGTGCTGGGTGGCAGCTGATGCCCTTTCTGTCTGAGTGGGAACCCCCTGCTCTCTACCCCTCTACCCAGCCTTGGTGCTGTCGCAGTTTGGCTGTCTGTACCCAAAGCCTGGAAGACCTTGGGGCCTCCCTCACACCTTCCCCTATACCCCACACCCCCACTTCACTGGCCTGGGTGCCTGGCTTGTCCTGGAAAGGAGCTGAGCTGTGTGATCCAGGGTGCTACACAGCCCGGCCTGACATCAGCCGCTGTCTCTTTCTCTGTTTGGCTGACCCCTGGGCCTCCTCTCGGGTCCAGCCCTACCTCCCCCTGGTTCAGATTCCACCCGCCTGAGCAGCAGCTCACAGGTCAACTCCACTAGAAAGCCCTGGAAGTGAGAGAGAAGCCTGCTTCATCGCCAGGTCCCCAGCACTGGGTGGCTCAGAAGCAGCTTCCATAAGCTTCTGTTTGAATGAATGACACCTAGTGACAAGGACAGCCTGAATAAATGAGAAGGGAAGGGACAGGATTTATCACACAGGCACCAGGAGCAAGGAGTCAAGGGACTAATCTGTACTCACGCCTCAGTCACTTCTCCCTATGTGACTTAGAGCAACCCATCCATCCATCCATCCATCCATCCATCCATCCATCCATCATTTATCCATGCATTCATCCACCCACACACCCATGAATCTATCCTTCCATCCACTCACTTATCTACCCACCATCTATCCATCCATATCCATCTACTCACCCACCTAATTACCCATCTCTAGATCTATTCATTGCTATCTACTCATGCATACATTCATTACTCCATCCATCCATCCACTCATCCATCCATTCATCCACTCATCCATCTATTCATTCATCCATCCATGTATCCTCCCATCTACTTACTCATCTATCCATCCATCCATCCATCCCCATCCATCCATTCATCTTTCCTTCCTTCGATTCAGTCACTCATCCAATTGCTCATCCATCTATTCTCCCTCTCATCCGTTTACTTTACTTAATATCCCCCACTGAGGGCCTTTGCCAGCCAGGCCTGTGTGGAGTTGGGGAGCAGGGAGGAATCAGAATCAGGCCCTGCTGCCAAGGGTGCCCACTAGGAAAAGGAAATCAGAGCCAGAGAGAGGCACAGGCAGGAGCTGACCGGGAGGCTGAGCTCAGCATGGAAGTTCAGCCTCAGGGCTGCTACCCCTCACCCTCACAGTGTACCTGCGCCTCTCACTCAGCATCGAGTCCCAGGGCACCAAGGACAGTTCTGTCATGGGTCCAGGTAAGAGGCGGGCAAGTTCTGCAGGCACAAACAGGTTAATAAACTTGTCCTTGTCTACATGATTAGAAAGCTGCTAAATTGGGCCATGGGCGCAGAGTCACATTCCTGACCTCTGCCTGCTCTGACTTTTCAGCGACCTGGACTGGCAGGGCCTGGAGTCAAGTGCCCAGACAACCTGCAAGAAGTGGCTGTCCAGCGTCTGTTGCACACATGTAACCTGACAAGATGCTCACTGCCTGTCCACGCAGGAGCTGGTCGCTGCTCAGCTCTATGAAATTCTCTTTCTTGGACCATGCGTCCCAAGGCCCTGGTGCTGTCCTCTGGACCCTGTGTGCTCCTGCTGTCCTGACATGTCCCTGCAAACTTTGAAGATGGAGTGGCATCCCTGTGCCTCCCCTGCCCCAGCTGCTTCCCCACAGGGGCCAGCCTAGCACAGAAAGCCACGTGCCTGACTGAGGCCACAGGGCAGGGGAGAGGAATCCGCCAGAGAGACTGGAGGAAGGGAAGGACCTAGTGGCACGAACGTGGGCCCTTAGCCTCACGCTTGGCCTTGGCCTGTGCTTCCAAACATTGATTTTCACCAGCCCCCAAATCCTGATCTAATTGCCCCATTTTCAGTATCAACTTCATGTGTTGATTCCATTTTGGAAGAAAGTGAAGACAAATAAATGGCCACATCTGTGTCCTCTGTCCCTCACAATCACTAACCTGTCCTTCCCACTCTGCACACCCACCAGACCTCTAGGGCCCCGACTCTGCTTTGTGGGGTAGGAGGATGGGAGCAAAAGTACCCCCACTATGCTGGGACCTACACCAAGAGCCAATTGTTTTTAGTAAGCGACAGGCCAGATGATATCACAAAGACATCTCAAAATCAGCCAGAGTGACAATGTTTACAGCGTGAGAATCCGTAAATGCTACCTTCTAGGGCATTTCCTCCACATTTCCCAGCATGCATCTGAATCTGCCCTCTTCTCTCCTGTCCCCATGGACTCCAACAGTGCAGTGAGGATCATCCCAGATCCCTTGAGACCCTAATCTTCCAGGAGACAGAAAAGAGTCCCCAGGAGACTTTCTGACCCCTTGCTCTCTTCCTTAGTGTTCTTTTAGCGACTTTGGGAATTCAAGAATGGTTTCATTCATTCATTCAACATATGGCGGATATTACTGTCAGATACTGGATGCAGGCTGAGACCTAGCAATAGGACAAACCTGTTGCCCTCTACCAGTTCATGATAACAGTCTGTGCCTAGTGCACACCTTACCTCATTTAATCCTCAGACACATGGACCCATTTTACAGGCAAGAAGACTGAGGGACCTGGAATGCCAGGTCAGTAATTCCTATCTGCCTAACTCCAAACCCCAAACCCACCAAAATGATAGTGGCAGTTCTTTTTGGATGGTTCTACTTTTGCCATTGCTCTGAGAGGAAGTTGTCTTTTGCTCTGTGAGGAAAACCTGGTAGGCAGAGAAGATGACTGGTCTAGCTTGCAGGCTTGGATAAAAAAGGCAGGATTCAGGCTCCCAACTCTAGGTCATAGTGCAAAGTGGCCCACTCTTGGGTAGGGTCTTGTCCCAGCTCCACACTGCATGCCGGGGGTGACCTTGGATGAGTCTCTAAACCATCCCACCCTTTCCATCCCCCTGGGTCTAGTCTTTCTCTGAAGCCCAGGCCCTGGTTTCATCATGGGGTGCCTCATAAATTCTGCAACTTAGCACAGCCTGGATAGAACTTTCTAAGCCTCCGTTTCCTCACCTGTAAAGCTGGGACAACACTGCAGGATTTTGCAGGGATACAATGACAGCAGAATTTCACCAGACCTTTGAAGTGTGGCGTGGAAGTTAGCAATACTATCTGGGAGCATCTCCCCACTGCGTGGCTAAGGGGCTCAGGCCTGCCATCCATGGACATCCAGGTGTCCAGAGGTCACCTGCAGTCATATCCCCTCACCCACCCATGTCGACACCAGTAGGCAACACAGTGGGTTAAAAATAGCCATAAATTGTCTCTCTATGTCTGTTTCCCTCCTCTTGAGTCTAGGTGTCCCTGGGACTGTTTAGCCGATGGGACACAATGGCTTGTTCCAGTCCTGACTTTTAAGAAGACAGGAAGCATGTGTTTTCCTGCTTGGAGCCTCACTCTTGGGTATCTCAAAATCTAGTCACTGAGCCCCCAAATATGTAGCAAAGCCACTTGCAGGCATGGTGGTCAGAGGTCCCAGCAAAAACCTGTCAACATCTACCAGGTGGAGCGAGCTATATGAGCCCTGTTGGGCATTCTATACGTTTAAGGCAGTTTGATATGCAACAAGCAAAAACATGGTAACATACTTACTTACAAGGTTTTTTATATATCTGTTTACTATTTTTTTTTTTGTCTTTTTCATTTTTATCGGTACCGGGGATTGAACTCACAACCGCCTGCTTGCAAGGCAGGAGCTTATGCTGCTGAGCTAAATCCCCAGCCCCTCTGTTTACTATTTTTAAAAATATACCAATTATTCTACTGAACAGGGCAGAATTGAAACATGCAGACAACCTGGTGCTCTATCAGGTAAGAATGATTTTCATACTTTAATATGGCCAGAAAAAAATAAAAAGAATATATTTATTTTATGACCTATACTCAAAAAATTGCATATACTTCAAATTTTAGTATCTACAAGTGAAGATGAATTGGATGACAGGAATGATTTAGTTTCTGTATCATTTGATGACAACACCAGAGTCCTGTGATACTGAGAGACCATACGGCCCAGAGAACCTACCCTGTTTATTTTCTAGCCCTTTAGAGGAAAATCTGTCCAATCCCTGCTATAGAACATTGTAGGATTTTGGACTTACATTCCTGCCTGTCTTCAAGGGGCCGTACATGGTCCTGGAGCATATATTTACAGAATAAGACACTGGACTCTTTTGCTTATTTATTTGAAAGTTTGCAGCATCATAAAGGTATGCAAAATTCGGACAAACTGTAGGAGAAATGCCAAGATAGCATTCGAAGAGACCTCAAAATGGCACCCTCTGGTGACAGGAGGGCCAGAGAATTTGGAAGGAAGAGGAGAAAGGCTGCAGAGGGGCCCCAGGCAGATAGGGAGCCCCCAGCCCCAAGCCAGCATGGGGTCTCTGCCTCCTGCCATCCTCCCCACTTCCAGGCCTCCTACATCCTGCTGGGCAGCGCACCAGTTGTGCTGCTCCTTGTCCCCTGCCTGTCCCCCCCCCCAGCTGTCTGGACTTAGTGACCCCTCCTGGAGTGGCACTGTTCGCCCAAAGCAGCGGCCACACCCCCCTGCAGGCCCTGCAGCCCCCCAGAGTGCACTCCTCTCATATCCTCTCACATCCATCCCGCATGGTGAGACCCACTCAGCTGACCTGCTAGGGACATCACTGCCTTATTCACTTCTGGGGCTCCATGAGACATATCAGAGCCCACAGCCCCAACTCTTAGAGGGAACCCAGAAAAAGACTTCAGTCTGGCATCTCCCCCGGCCAGGACAAGTGCTGCAGAGAGCCAGGGCCAATCTTGGGCTGGGCTCACCCTCACCTAGTCCGTGGCAGGGCCTCTGCCCAGGCAGGAGGGGCCAACAGCTTCCTCCTACTAACCAGCTGACACTGAGGACCAGGATGTGAGAACAAGGAGCCCATTCAGCACACAGGGCCAGCAGGCGCTTTCAGGTGAGTGACGTCACCCTAAGAAGCCTGGTGGGCCTGCCTGAGGGCCAGAGAAGCCTTTGATGACCCAGAACTGAGAACACAAATCACAACCCTCAGGCCTCCTGGGTCTGGCTGACATCCCACTTCTGGACAATGGTGCCCAGAAAGGGGCGCAGACAGGGACCCAGGTTGGGGTGGAACCTTAGGGCAGATGGGTAGTGGGTCCACCAGCGGGGACCTTGGATACCTAGCCCAATGGGGTAGTCAGCTCCCGCAAGGTTTGCTGGTGACGTCAACACACACTGCCCCAGCCCCATGGCCCCACACAGTGAGCCCACCTGGGGGTGGCAGCTACAGGGCTTGTCTTAGCCTGTGGCTAGGATTTTGTCTCCAGATGGTCACCCATACCCTGGGGAAAAGGGACCAGAGGAAGGAGGAAAGAGGAACAGTTGGCTCTTTCTTGAGCAGAACCTGCCAGCACTCCTGGGACACGAGAGTTCACAAGATAGATCCCAGGAGCCAGGTCCAATCCAGAGGAAGAGAAGGCAGGTACCTGGGAGAACCACTGTCTCTCCTTGGCCTGTCACCTTGGCTCCACCCTCAGGGACCGGAGCAGACTTTGACTTTTCCACATACTCACAGGCAGGAGCCTGGGACAGGACACACACTACCTTTCCTCTGGGTCCAGAGATGGCTTCTGGCATCACTTCTGTGGCCAGGAGCATGGACTATCCACCCATCCCCATGGGGAAGTCAAAGCCACAGAGTCCCCACCCTACAAAGAGACTCCCGGTGCCCTGAAAGGCTCACCATGTTGGGGTGGCTTCCTCCTCTCTCAGCAGCAAGGGCTTCTCCTTTAGGGGCCCCAACTCTGCGAAGTGCAGACTGTGGCTTATTCATGCCTGTGTCTCCAGCCCTCTGGACATAGGCCACTCACTCACAAGGGCTGGATATGCACCTGCCCTATGGGAGGTTGGCTATAGGAGAGACCGGTGGTTTGTGGGAGACATGCATTTAGGGAGTCCCTAGTCATTGCGCCCTTATAGTGGGAAGATACCAGGCTTTGAGGACAGACAGCCTGCATCTCCGTAGCCCTTGGACAAGTGTCTTGGCTTCTCTGTGCCTCAGCTTCCTCATCTGCAGAATTAGCACCCATTCCCTCACAAAATAACAGGAGGCTGAACTCAGGTTTCAAAGAGATTGAGCCTTTGACACCCCTGTGCAAAAGGCCAGCACCCAGGGGCCCCAGAAAATGAGCCTCTGTCCAGCTCCACCTCTCCTGTCACTGGATCTCCAGACTCCATCCTGGGAAGCTGACCCAAGCCAGGGGCTGGAGCTTTCATAGCAGACATTGGGCGAGCACTGGGCCTGTAGTCCTCAGCCTCGCTCTGGGGTCCATCCTGCCAATTCCTATCTGTGTGTCCCAAAGCAAACTGTATTCTCTCTGAGCCTCAGCTCCCTCATGTGTAGGATGGGCTCTCCTGCCCACCTGGCCCACTATCTCAGAGCAGAAGGCAGGTGTCACCTAGACTGTCAGGGGCTATGTGCTAGGTGGCCACAGGGTGACAGGGAGCTCACCCTCTCCCTGGCAGACCCTTGCCAGGAGTGCTGCCCAGGTGGTGACCTCAGCGAGAGTCTTTAGCCTCTGGGGTGGCCATCCTGACCTGAGACTCCTTCCCAGAGTCTCCAAAGCTGAACAGGGGGATCAGGGTCTCCTGCTTCCCTTTTCAATTGTATTTTCAGGGGTCCAAGCAAGCTCAGGCTGCAGTATTTATGGGAGACTCACATCTGCCCACGAGCACCTAACAGAGCTCAGGAATGAAAGAACCAGCAACTGACAGCACTCCTGAAGGCATGGAGGGGGGTGTCCTCTTGGCCCCAGGACCATGGGGAACAGGGCCAGGCCGGGTGTGTAGAGGCTAGGCTGCCCCTTGGGTGTCCTAATGTCCTGGGCTTCAGTGTACATCCTTGGCCCTCCCACTTGCACCTCAAGCCATCTAGCACCCAGATGCATCAGGAGGGCAGAAGGACG